GAAGATTATATCGAATCTGTTGCTAGGTCTCCGGCTAGGAAAGTTGGTTCACTGTGTTGTGCCAGACATTTTTCTCTCCTGAATCTATCTTACATATTTATAAGTCTACCATTCGTCCATGCTTTGAATATTTCGGCCACATATTGCCCGGTGTCCCTGCTATATATTTAGAAATTCTTGATAAATTCCAATAAGCAATATTACTGATCCTGACCTAGCATCTCGGCTTCAATCACTTTCCAACCAGCGTAATATTGCGTCCTTTTTCTACAAGTTCTTGGTAATTGTTCTAATGAATTTTCCTCTATGGTATGTAGAGTTTATGTATTTATGTGCAATTACTAGATTGGCGGCAAGGTCTTATCAGTTCACAGTTGAAATGGCTAGATGCAACCGTAAGTTCTATGCGGACAGTTTTTTCTCTTGCAATCCTCGCTTCCGGCTCCGTGCATTCCAGCAAGCTTTGAGCTTCAAAAATCTAAATAAATTGTCAATCGCTATTTAGTGTCTTCTTCATTACACTTCTTATGTTCTTATTAATGTTTCGCTATTTTCTTATTCGTTCCCACTCAGTAACCTTTTGTTTCTTAGTGGATTTACATCCTTGCATGGGGTGAAATGATCAAAAGAACTTTTTTTGTAATTCATGCAATGATCTTTGTACTTAAGTGACAGAAATATTCAGAAGGTTACTTAACTAATAACGAAATATTCGCTTGGCCCTTTCTAAATTTTAAGGAAAAACATTTTGTAGAATATTCAAAACGCCTATAGTTAAACAGTTTTAAAGGAAGGCTTAAGGCTTCCAGAAGCAGTAGAAAGGTAGCAAATTTCCTCAAAAGCAAAAAAGAAAATGGGCACTCTCACCGATCCTTTGTTTCTTGTTTTTTTGGCTTTCAAACATAGATTACAATAATCACAAAACATGATTTCAAACAACTAAAAAAAAACAAACTCTGGAATGAACTCAGTTTATTTGTGTTATGGTCTGGTTCCTTGTACCGCGGTGATAGTCCAAGGTAGAACCAATAAAGAAGAACTCAAACACGGATATGGAATAACACAGATATATAACAAACCTGCTCGGTCTCACGCTGACTGCTGACCTGAGATGGAACAAATACATTGAGTCAATTGCTTCTTCCACCGCGAGGAAAGTTGGCTCTCTGTGCCGCGCCAGGAAATTTTTCTCCCCTGAATCGATACTTCAAATATACAAAACAACCATTCGCCCTTGCATGGAGTATTGCTGCCATATATGGGCTGGAGCACCTTCTGCTTACCTCGGAGTTCTTGACAAGATCCAGAGAAGGATATGTAATCTAATTGGCTCTGATCTAGCGTCTTGTTTGCAGTCATTCTCTCACAGACGCGCCGTCGCCTCTCTCTGTCTTTTCTACAAATACTTCCATGGTAACTGCTCTGATGAGCTGCTCTCTCTGGTTCCCAGACTCCATGAATTCAAGCGCCCTACGAGGCTGGCATCCCGCTCTAACCCTTACACCGTAGAAACCTTCAAATGTAGCCGTCTCTTCTACTCCAATAGCTTCATACTTCGCACCTCTCGCCAGTGGAACACCCTCCCCAATTACTGTTTCCCTGAAAGCTATAATCTCCAACTATTTAAATGTAATATCAATCGACATCTCCAATTACCTTGATCTACCCACTATCCTTCTCCTCTTCCTTTCTCCTATCACTCTTATCTGCTCTCGCTCCAAATCTTCCGCAACCCCCTGCATCCTAGTGGCTTCACGCCTTGCTTGGGGCACAATGCTTAAAAAAAAAAAAAACAGGAATATATACAGAGAAGTAGAAAGTGTTAGTATGAACAATCAGGCAAGTAGAGAGAACAGTGTAGTCTCGACCAGTATCACTATTCCAATGTCTTGCAGTAATTATATGAACGCGACTTTGTTTCGGACTGCCTCTGATTCGACTCTTGACTCGACTTGAACGACTGACTCGACTTGAACTACTGACTCAACTGGCTCCTTGCCTACTCCTGAGGCGCAGTATTTATTAAGTATGGAAATAGTCCATTATTATTATTATGAGTAAGATCCCATAACAATTTGGAAACACATTCCATACCTGAAACTTACAGAAAAATCTCTTGACAGTTAGCGGCGCAATATGCGACTACGTCCAGTTCGCACAGCACATTCAAATTCCATTTCTTGACACTTCTTTACACACACACACACACACACACACATATATATATATATATATATATATATATATATATATATATATATATATATATATATATATATCAGCAAAAGAATCCTGGAATGAATTACTTGCCAAATTAAAAACCACCTTGGATTAAAATTATGGATCGATACCAAAGATGTCATCAATTGGTTTACCAATATTGATAATAAACCTAATTGCACCCTATTACAGTCAGTTCGATATCGTGGATTACTACCCGTCAATATCGAAGGATCTATTCACGACTGCCCTGGAGTTTGCTGCTGTGTATTCTAACCTGACAAAGGAAGAAATAGATATAATTCTCAGTGCTAAAAAATCTGTCCTCATTCATAATGGGGACCAATGGATAAAAAACAATAATGACCTTTTTGACATCACCATGGGATCTCTAGACTCTGCATAGTCTTCTGACCTTGTTGGTCTTTTAATATTGTACAACTTGACCGCGCATCGTGAAATAGATATTAAGGACATCGGACTGTATAGAGATGACGGGCTCATGGTAGTGAGAAGTTCTACTAATTTTAAAATAGAGAAAATTAGAAAGATTATATTTGGTGAATTTAAAAATCTAAACTTAAAAATAACAGTCTGTACTAAATTGAAAAGGGTAAACTTCCTCGACGTTACTCTAGATTTAACAAACAACACATACCAACTTTATAAAAAAAACAAATACTAACCCCTTGTATATACACCCTAAGTCAAACCACCCTCCATCCATAATAAAACATATACCATCATCAATAGAAAATAGAATCAGTCTTAACTCCGCTAACAAAGACATTTTCCAACAACACAGGAACTTTTATAACGCTGCCCTAAAAAATAGTGGATACAAAAATGCTAACATCAATTATAGAAACAATTGTACTAATCCGAAAAAAAGCAGAAAAAGAAAAATCATTTGGTATACCCCTCCGTTCAACCAAATGGTTAGTATTAAGTTAGGACAGAAATTCCTAGCTTTAATTGAAAACACTTTCCTACCAATAGTAGACTTAGTAAAATATTTAATAAAAACACCCTAAAATTAAGTTACAGCTGCACTGAAAATCTAGAAAGTATAATAAAAAAACACAATATTAAAATCCTGAACAAACCCTCATGCCTGAATAGTATTAATAAAAACCCCGCACTTAAATTAAACGAAAATAGTGAAAAATTATGTGATTGTAGAAACCAAGAAGACTGCCCATTGGAAAATAAATGCTGCGTTAAGTCTGTGGTACACCAATGTACTATCTCATCCATTGAGAGTCCTAATACTAATATGATATACATTGGGTCTACGAAGAATGAATTTAAAGCCAGATGGAGGCAGCATAAGTGCTCTTTCAACAATATAAATAAAAGAAATCAGACATCTCTAACTAAATATTTTTGGCATCTGAAGGAAATGAATAAAACACCAAAAGTAAAATGGAAAGTTATAAACAAAACTAGAACTTGTAAAACTTGGGATGACCCATGCCCTTTATGCCTACATGAAAAACTACACATTATTAAGTTTCTAAATAATAAAAATCTATTAAACAATAGACATGTGTTAACAGGTTTTGGCCGACATCATCAAATTTTAGCATTAAATAATTAGCATAAAAACAAAAAACAATAAAATAATTTTTTAAATCCATAGTCATAATAAATAGTTTAAATGTCCTACCATAAATGATAACCCTTTATGAAGGCGTCAAAAAACAAATGTTAGCGATTTACGACAGTTTTTATATGCACAAAACCCTTTCAGAATAAATAAAAAATAAAATAATAAAATAAAAATAAAAAAATAAATAAATCTCCATAGACGCTTAACCAGACTATGTGATGTCTTTCTGCTTTAAATTTAGACACCCCAACCTTAATCTGACTTGACATCTGTGAATGTAACCGAGATATTGATACAAATTATTAACACTTTTCGCCCCTCTTTCTTTGGACGGTTGCTCTAGCCGTTACCATAGAAATTTTGATTTTAATAATGAATATGCTTATAAAACACGTAAATTTCAGAAATAAGTTATCCCCAAAAACATTTCGCTTGAAGATGGAACAGAGCTTAGTACTTTAATTCAGTTTAATTCAAATAATTATATTGAAGTTTTCGGCTCTTTTTTTGAAACATGAGAACTCTTATGTAGCGTTGGAATCATATTTTTAGATAAATAATTATATTTATGCTCTACTTTTGTATCGAGCACTATTTTTTAAAAATAATAACAAATACTAAAGAACTTTGGATTATTTACCTAACGACTTCTTTCCTACTTTCTATATATTTTTCACACACACATATATATATATAGAGATAGATGTGTGTGTGTGTGTGTGTGTGTGTGTGTGTGTGTGTGTGTGTGTGTGTGTGTGTGTGTGTGTGTGTGTGTGTGTGTGTGTATAGGCTTATAGCGTTATTTATAATTTTTCTTCTTTTTTTTCTATCATTGGACATATTCTTGAGAGTAATCGTTTCCAATCCGGAGATAATTTCCCCAGCCAAATAAAAATTCGAGGGACTCAGTATTTCTCCTTCAAAATGGAAGCCGACTTCATGTCCGTTTCTAAAGAAAAATGAAATAATCTCTTCACGGAGCGAAAAGAAGAAGAAAAAAAAAACATTAAAAATCGAAGACTAAGAGAATGTCGGTGAATAGAAATTTAAATGAAGAATGAGGGAAAAGAAAGATGGAATGAAAAGAAAAAATGATAGGAAAAAAAAGGAATAAGGACGGAAAAATACAAAAAAAAATGATCGAAAAGGAAGGAAAAAGAAAGAAATTTTATGAAAGAAAGAAAGAAAGAAAGAAAGAAAGAAAGAAAGAAAGAAAGAAAGAAAGAATGAAAAGGTGATAGGCAGAGTGAGGAAAGGGCAAAAAAGAAAGAAAGAAAGAAAGAAAGAAAGAAAGAAAGAAAGAAAGAACAGGAGATAGGCAGAATAAACCAAAGAAAACAGGTACAAAAAGAAAGGAGGAAAGAAAGATTAAAAACAATTGAAAGAAAAAGGGAAAGAAATGAAGGGAAAAGAAGGAGAAATAACAAATGAAATTAAAAAAGAAATAAAAAAAGAAAAGGAGAAGAAATAACTAAAGAAAAAAGAGTGAAAAAAGCGAAAAGAAAATTAAATAACACATAAAAGAAAGAAGGAAAGAAAAAAGCGAAACGAAAGAGAAAAATGGAAGAAAAAATGAAAAAAGAAGCGAAAAGAAAGAGAAATGACAAATGAAAGAAAAAAGAAAAGAAAAGAAGCGAAAAGAAAATGAAATATCAAATGAAGGAAAAAAAAGAAAAGAATATTTAAAGAAAATAAATTAAGTAAATAAACAAAAAGAAATAAGAAAAAAAGAAATGAAGGAAAATAAACCAGAAGAAAAACGAATAGAACGACATTTCTTTTTTAATCAAATTTACCCCAGCTGACACATTTAGGCGGGAGCCACCCAGCTCCTCACCATTTTCGTTAGATTTCAAAAGCGTGTCCGTGTCCTTGTGCAGGACGAATTATTTTCCATGTGACAAGCCTCTCATCGCTCTATCGCTACTTACATAAAAAGGGCTCCGACGAACTAAATTCCTTGGTTCCGCCAATCTTAACCGTCACAGCTACGACACACCATGCCACTTACATTGTATCAAATCACCCACATTCCCCCCGTATTCCATCGGTAAGAATTACGTTTCATTCGACCAGCTTCTTCCCGTGAACCACTGCGCTTTGTAACCGATATCATTGGTGATTCTTCTTTGGCTTTTAAGGGAGAGAAAAAGTCAGTAAAAAGGAAAGAAATTAACGAAAGGAAAGAATAAAAAAATTGGAAATGGAAGATAAAACCAATGAAATGAAGAAAAGATCAAATATAAAAGAAGGAATGATGTAAAAGAAGAAAAATAAAAGCTTAGAAAAGTAAAAATGAAAAACGGAAAGAAATTAGAGAGATTAAAGGAAGGAAGGAAGGAAGGAAGGAGAGGAAGGAAGGAAGGAAGGAAGGAAGGAAGGAAGGAAGGAAGGAAGGAGAGGAAGGAAGGAAGGAAGGAAGAAAGGAAGGAAGGAAAGGAAGGATGGAAGGGAGGAAGGAAGGAAAGGAAGGGAGGAAAGAGAGGAAGGAAGGGAGTAAAGGAAGGAAGGAAGGAAATAATGAAAGAAGGAAGGAAGAAAACGTAGGAAGGAAGGAAAGAAGGAAGGAAGGAAAAAAAGGAAAGAAAGAATGAAGGATGGAAATGAAGGAAAGAAGGAAGGAAGGAAGGAACGAACGAACGAACGAAACGAAACGAAGGAAGGGAGGAAAAAAGGAAGAAAGGAAGGAAGGGAGAAAGGAAGGGAGAAAGGAAAGTAGGAAGGAAAGAAAGAAGGAAAGAAGGAAACGAAGGAAGGAAACGAAGGAAGGAGAAAGGAAGGTAGGAAAGAAGGAAGGAAGTAAAGAAACAAAGGAAGGAAGGAAGGAAGGGCGAAAGGAAGGAAAGAAGGACGGAAGGAACTAACGAACGAAGGAAACGAAGGAGGGAAGGAAAGAAGGAAGGAAGGAAACGGAGGGAAGGAAAGAAGGAAGGAAACGAAGGAAGGAAGGAAGGAAGGAAACGAAGGAGGGAAGGAAAGAAGGAAGGAAGGAAACGCAGGGAAGGAAACGAAGGAAGGAAGGAAACGAAGGAAGGAAACGAAGGAAGGAAACGAAGGAAGGAAGGAAACGATGAAAGGAAAGTGAAAAATAAAAAAGTGAAGCAAAATAAAAAATAAAAGAAAGAAGAAAGGAAAGAAAAATTGAAATGAAAGAAAAACTGAAAAGCAAGCAAAATAAAGAGCAGAAGTAAAAAAAGAAAAAAAATTGAAAGATTAAAGGAAGGAAGGAAGGAAGGAAGGAAGGAAGGAAGGAAAAAGTGAACGGAAAGAAAAAAGGAATTAAAATAAATAGCAGATATAAAAAAAAGAATAAAATAGAAAGATTAAAGGTAGGAAGGAAGGAGTGAAAGGAAGGAAAAAAGAAAAAGAAGCTAAATAAAGCATTGAAGTAAGAAAGAAAAAAAATTAAATGAAGGAATCAAAAATCATGTCCAAAGAAAAAAAATGACGAAAGAAAATTAGAAAGAAAATCCATGGAAAGGAAGGAGGAAGAAGAAACATTAAAGGAAAAATTAAGAAAGAAAGAAGGAAAGAAAAGTGAAAGGAAAGAAAAAAAGATAAGATGCAAAATAAAGATCAGAAGTAAGAATGAGGAAGTGAAAGAAAAAAAGAAGCAAAATAAATAGCAGAAGTGAAAAAAGAAGAAAATGGGAAAGAAAAGGGAAAGAAAATTTAAAGTGAAAACAGATAAAATAAAAATAAAATCGTAAGAATAATAATCAAAGTAAAAGACGAAAGAATGGAAAACAAATAAAACACGACAGAAGAAAACAAGATGGCGCAATGAATTAAAAGAGGGAAAGACAGAAAGTAAAGGTGAATGAAACCGAAAGAAGAAAAGAAAGAAAAAAGAAAGGAACGAACGAACGGAAGAAGAAAAAAATGATGGAAGACGAAAGGAAATGAAGAATTTGAAATATAAAAAGTATGACTATTTTTCACGTTGTTTTTTAAATAATACTGACGAACCGGATAGTTGTTTATATATATATATATATATATATATATATATATATACACTGACACTAAATAAACTGTACATTTATTTTAAAAAAAAAAGGCACCCAATAAAAGGTAAAGATATTTCTTCTGTAATATTGCACGAATCAGTCTGCGGATGAAATATAAATGAACCATTGGAAAAGCGATTAAATTTAATTTAAAAACATTAAAACGATTTTGAAAAAAAAGACAATGAAAACAATACATTTTTGAGTAATCAAATGAAGGAAAATCTTTTTTTTTTTTTTCGCTGAGAAGAATAAATAAAAAAAAAAGAAGAGAAAATGTAAAACTAAAAAGCAGTAAGGTCGAAGACACGAAGGAACTGATTTAGATTAGAAAAAAAAAATAACTCCGTTAAAGATCATTAGATACAAGCAGACGTTAGGGGAAAAACGATATTTAAGAAAAAAAAAAAAAAAAAGCTAGAAAATAATTTATTCCTTTTTTACTTATTGTTTTATTTTTATTTATTTCCTTAAATTATTTATATATATATATTTTTTTTAAATTGAGAAATGAAGGGAGAGAAAGACCAAGATACAGAGAAACTATCCAAAAGTCTGCCATTTACAGCTAATCGGAAAGCAACGAATTTTATTTTTATTCCATTCAGTGACAGAGAATTTTTTTATACTGTTGCGCATGCGCAAAGATGGCGACCCTCTGATCCGACTTATGCGATTTGGATGTTTGCGATGTATTTTTTTTTTTTTTTTGGCTTTTTCTATTATTGCTTCAGCTTGTTTTCTCTACCGGGAAACAGAATCTGTCATGGCCTGCCACACGAAGAAGCTTCACATTTTCAACTTGACATTATTATTCGGACACCCAGCTTATATCGACAGCTATGTGCATGAGCTTACATATTATAATTGACCCCCGCTGTCTTCAAATATCATCAGCCTCCTTCCTGAAACAGTTAAGATTTAACAATGCGAACACAAATTCAGCTGAAGTCTAATATATTTATATACATACATACACATATATATATATATATATATATATATATATATATTGTGTGTATTTAGGCAGCATTTTTTTATTCTAATAGGTTTGTTTAAATAATTTAGACATATCATGTCGATTAGTTTTCGTTGTGAACTACAGGAGTGAATGAGTGTTTCCAAGAAAGTAAACTTTGACTATAGTTTTCATTTGCTTTTTTGTTTTTTTTATCACTAATTTTGATCAGTCCTTGTATTGGTTAAACGGCCACTTTCAAGATTTTTTAGACACAGGCTGAGAGGTTCCTGAGTCTCATCATTCATTCTTAAGTCATTTCGACAACATTATTGGTTGCTGGGAAGGGGATGTATGTGTTAAGTGTATGTTATCTTCTGTTTTTGTTTTTTTGTGTGTATGTGTATATATTTGTGTGACTGTGTGTATGGAAAGTACCTCAACACCTCTGCAGTAAATTCGACCCTGCCAACCGAATGCTCCTCTGTGGCCAAATCGGTTAAAAGCACGTCAGGCTATATGACGGTTCCGTATAGGATACAGGTTCCATGGCACATGTTCTCATAAATGAGGGTCAGCATTGGATGGTGTCTTTCGTTTTACACTCATGCATACTAGAAGGGGCTGTTGTGGAGAACATCAGGTAAGGGAAAGACATTTTTATATATAAGTCCGACAATTATTTAAGACATAACCGTCATATAGCCAATCGGCTAAGGCACGTCAGGCTATATGACGGTTCCGTGTAGGATACAGGTTCGATTCCTGTCGAGGACGAATATTTTCTATAAAAATTTCTCGGACATTCAGGCCGGTAAATGTTATTGATTCTGTTTATCGATAAAAAGAATGTATAAACATAAAATGTCTTAAAATAATTGTCGGTCTTTGTCCATTTCATTATATATATATATATTATGCTCATTAAATTTAGCTTGTAAAACAAAAGCCGTAATTCTTTATAACTGATATTAATGGCGAAAATAAAACGTACATAGACTGCGCTGAAGTTTCTTTTAAGCGTAGATGGTATAATCATAGATCTTCGTTTAAACTAGCAAATCTTAGATACTCCGCCAAACATGCTAACCATATGTGGAATCTCAAAAGAATGGACAACGGGGACCCGTTCGTAAGGTGAAGAATTCTAAAAAAAGTTAAGACCATACAGCAACCATATCCGCATTTGGCTACCTTTGTCAACATGAGAAATTAGCGATGATGACATTCCCAGATCCAAAAAAACCTTTTAAACCAGAGATCTGAAATCTTAAGTTCTTGCCTTTATATAAAAAAAAATAATTATTAAATGAATATGAGGCCGGATAAAAAAATGTATTTTACCCCCCAACACCCACACACACACTTTTATTTTTATAATACGTTTGCTTCCCATCCTGTCCTTCCGTATATTTACAAGATAACCTTCGTTAAATTTACGTTAAATTTGCTTTCCTTTTCAACTTTTTTCTTTATACATTTACGAACTACTTGTTGTCTTCATTTTTCTTGTTTTCTTCACCCTACTTCTTTTTTTTCTTCCTACTCCTTAGACCCCCTTTCTATTACATTCAACGTTAAGCGTTTGATCGTCCTGCGTTTATTTTTAAAAAATAATAATGTAGAGTTCTTTGTGTGTGTGTGTGTGTGTGTGTGTGTGTGTGTGTGTGTGTGTGTTTAATAGATAAAACGTTGGATGGTCAATTGATAGAATTCGCCTGATGAGACTGTGAGGACGAAACCAAGGTTGCGTGTTCTATATGACCTCCTAATTTTTAACGTATATATATATATATATATATATATATATATATATATATATATATATATATATAAGTATAGGATTATCGGATTATCAAGTGCTGGTTTTGAATGTAGAATCTACATTCAACACTATCATTTGAAAAGAGACCAGAAGTGTTGAAACAAAATGGCTATTTTTGTAGTGAGTTTATAACATATTTATGTTATAATCTTTGAATAAATAAAAAATTATGTATATATATATATATATATATATATATATATATATATATATATATATATATATAAGACTCGCCTGTACGATAAATGAGGGTCAGCATTGGATGCTGCCTTTCGTTTTACCCTTATGCATACTAGAAGAGGCTGTTGTGGAGAACATCAGGTAAGGGAAAGATATGCTAAGGCACGTCAGGCTATATGACGGTTCCGTGTAGGATACAGGTTCGATTCCTGTCGGAGGGCGCATATTTTCTATGAAAATTTCTTGGACATTCAGGCCAGTAAATGTCGTTAATACTGCTTATTATAAACAGGCCATTTACTTAAAGATTTGTGTCTATAAAAAGAACGTATAAACATAAAAAATGTCTTATATATATATATATATATATATATATATATATATATATATATATACTTAACAATCTTTCTGAAATGTAACAATGTGGAATTAAACACTTAAAATAATACAGTATACATCTTTAATACAAATATTAACCTAATACTAGGCCCATGAGCCTCTCAAGGTAGAGGATTAGTGATGTGTTATGAGAGTAAGAAAGGGGAAGTTCATACGGCTATGGAGGAAATATAACGGCTAACTCTAGACTTGAAGGGGTTAAGATGATAGTGATTGGGAAAATATCCTGGCACACATCCAAGTGTACAGCACCTGATATTCCTAAGAGCTCAACCATCGAGATAAAAACCAGGCTCGACGTTGCTTAACTTCGATGATTGTACGAAAATCGTGATATGGCCGTAATCCTTAAAGTGGAGCGTGGTGGTGGATGAGCGGAAAGAAAGGCAAGAAGTGATGTTCATGAGGCTAAGTAGGAAGGATCTGGGCTAACCATCATCATCATCATTAGATAGATAAATAGATAGATCATCATCATCATCCTTTGAAAGATAGATAGATAGATAGATAGATCATCATCACCATCCTCATCATCTTTTGATAGATAGATAGATCATCATCATCATCACCCTCATCCTTCGATAGATAGATAGATAGATAGATCATCATCATCCTCATCATCATCCTTTGATAGATAGATAGATAGATAGATCATCATCATCATCACCCTCATCCTTCGATAGATAGATAGATAGATAGATCATCATCATCCTCATCATCATCCTTTGATAGATAGATAGATCATCATCATCATCACCCTCATCCTTCGATAGATAGATAGATAGATAGATAGATAAACAGATCATCATCATCCTCATCATCATCCTTTGGTAGATAGATAGATCATCATCATCATCCTCATCATCCTTTGATAGATAGATAGATCATCATCATCATCACCCTCATCCTTCGATAGATAGATAGATAGATAGATAGATAGATAGATCATCATCATCATCCCTTTGATCATCATCATCCCCTTTGATAGATAGATACATAGATAGATCATCATCATCATCATCCCTCATCCTTCGATAGATAGATAGATAGATATCATAAATCATCCTTTTGATAGATAATCATCATCCTCATCATCATCCTTTAGATAGATAGATATATAGATAGATCATCATCATCCTCATCATCCTTTGATAGATAGATAGATCATCATCATCATCATCCCTCATCCTTCCTTCGATAGATAGATAGATAGATAGATAGACAGATCAGATCATCATCATCCTCATCATCCTTTGATAGATAGATAGATCATCATCCTCATCATCCTTTGATCCTTAGATAGATAATCATCATCATCACCCTCATCCTTCGATAGATAGATAGATAGATAGATAGATAAACAGATCATCATCATCCTCATCATCATCCTTTGATAGATAGATAGATCATCATCATCATCCTCATCATCCTTTGATAGATAGATAGATCATCATCATCATCACCCTCATCCTTCGATAGATAGATAGATAGATAGATAGATAGATAAACAGATCATCCTCATCATCATCCTTTGATAGATAGATAGATAGATCATCATCATCACCCTCATCCTTCGATAGATAGATAGATAGATAAACAGATCATCATCATCCTCATCATCATCCTTTGATAGATAGATAGATAGATAGATCATCATCATCATCCTCATCATCCTTTGATAGATAGATAGATCATTATCATCATCACCCTCATCCTTCGATAGATAGATAGATAGATAGATAAACAGATCATCATCATCCTCATCATCATCCTTTGATAGATAGATAGATCATCATCATCATCCTCATCATCCTTTCATAGAGAGATAGATCATGATCATCACCCTCATCCTTCGATAGATAGATAGATAGATAGATAGATCATCATCATCCTCATCATCATCCTTTAGATAGATAGATAGATAGATAGATAGATAGATAGATAGATAGATAGATCATCATCATCATTCGACCTCCCTCTGTGTGAGCGGAACCCAATTGACAATTCCTTTCCACACTTTTTGGTCCTGCATTTCTGTCCAACTCTGAGTTCCACTCTATGCTGTCTGGGAAAACAATTTTTTGTGTGAAGACACTTCCAGAAGGATAACATAGGAATAAAGAGGAGACAGTTTCTCTGCTTGCTCGGCGGATAGATAGATAGATAGATAGATAGATAGATAGATAGATGAAAAGAAGGTGACAGATATGGACAGTGTTAGATAGATAGATAGATAGATAGATAGATAGATAGATAGATAGATAGATAGACATCCTTCGATCTCCCTAGGTTGGTCGGATATTCGGTCCAGCATTGTTGCCCCCAGAAAAGTCCAACCTTTGGTCCCGACCTCTAGATCAATTTTTGTGAGAAGACACTCCAGAAGGACGCCAGGATAAGGATGACCGATTGATAGATAGATAGATAGATAGATAGATAGATAGATAGATAGATAGATAGATAGATAGATAGATCATTATCGACATCCTTCGATCTCCCTATGGTTGGTCGGAACTTCACTATTCGGTCCAGCATTGTTGCCCCCAGATCCACAACGTCCAACCTTTGGTCCCGACCTCTGCTGTCTGGGAAAGTCAATTTTTGTGAGAAGACACTCCAGAAGGACGCCATAGGAGTAAGGATGACCGCTCGCTTGATAGATAGATAGATAGATAGATAGATAGATAGATAGATAGATAGATAGATAGATCCGACATCCTTCGATCTCCTATGGTTGGTCGGAACTTCACTATTCGGTACAGCATTGTTGCCCCCCAGATCCACAACGTCCAACCTTGGTCCTGACCTAAATAATTTTGTGAGAAGACACCCAGAAGGACGCCATAGGAGTATGACTGATAGATAGATAGATAGATAGATAGATAGATAGATAGATAGATAGATAGATAGATCATTATCGACATCCTTCGATCTCCTATGGTTGGTCGGAAGACTATTCGGTCCAGCATTGTTGCCCCCATATCCATCCAACCTGGACCCGACCTCTGCTGTTAGGAAAGAATTTTGTGAGAAGACACCCAGAAGGACGCCATAGGAGTGGATGACCGCTCGCTTGATAGATAGATAGATAGATAGATAGATAGATAGATAGATAGATCCTTCGAGCTCCCTATTCTTGGTCAGAACTCCTTCGACAATTCCTTTACACACTGTTCGGTCCTGTATTGCTGTCTCCAGATCCCCAATGTCCAACCCTGAGTCCCGTGATATAATGTCTGGGAAAGTCAATTTTTATTTAGAACTGGTGTTCCAATGTGATATGGCCGTAGGCTTGGGAGTTTGTTCCACAAACCATCAGTTCTTTAGAAGTTGTCCGAATGGAACCTCTTATTAATGGACTTCGAAGATCATGAGGAAGATTCACACTTGTATACGTGGCGTTGTTGGTCCCATATATATATATAGGCCAAGGCTGGTAACAACAATGAATGTATCGCCTGAGAACATGTGCCATGGAAATAGTGATAGTGCAATGAGAGTCTCGCAACGTTTCGTCTGTTTGAAAGGGTTTTTCGATTTGGATTTAGTAGTCGCTTTTGAGCCCAGGACAGCCAACTGAAAACTTGTCATCTCCTAATATGGCAGCTATTATTTTTACAGTAAGATTAACTCTTTACAAGGCCCGAGGGCCACTCAAGGTAGAGGGTTACGTTAGGAAGCCATTTGTGTGCATACAAGTGGGAGATAAAGGTTTACCCATTTGGCCCATTGGATAAAAGCGTTGGGAAAAATCCAGTGAGTAGTCCCAAAGAGTTGAGAGTTCATTACCAGACTACAGCAGAAACGAACAAAAACATGGAGAATTGAGTTAAAGGGAGATAATTAATACTGAGATATCAGGAAGAAGCATGGCACGTGGAACTAGATCAGTCCATTTCGGTGGACGAAATAAAGGGTTCAATTCGAAATTCCAGTCACCTGAAGAAGGCCGAAGCCAACATCGCCCGAAGCGTTGTGAATATGGCAACGAAGACGAGGATAATAGTTCTAACAATGTAAATAGTGTAAATAATTAAAATACCACATCTCAGAAATATACACAGCTCCTGAAGAAAGCCGGATCGTACAACGTCCGAAACGTCGTGAATATGGCAACGTAGAGGAGGACAATAGCGCGAACAATGTAAATAATGTAAATAATTACCTCATCTCAGAAATAGACACAACTCCTGAAGAAGACCGGAGCGTACAACGGTCGAAACGTCGTGAATATTGCAACGAAGATGAGGACAACCATCCGAAAAAGGTAAATAATTACAATATCTCATCTCAGAAATATACACAACTCCTGAAGAATGCCGGAGCGTACAACGGCCGAAACGTCGGTAATATGGCCACGGAGATAAGGAAAACAGTCTGAACAATGGAAATAGTGTAAATAATAAAAGCAAAATGTATATGCGTGTGTGTTTTTTGGGTGGGGGCATTTCAAATGCTTAAGGGAAGCGCCAGACCCCGAAGCCGACTCGCTTGTTGCAGCATTTTGCCTAAAAGACAACCGAACACAAGGAAGCTTCAAGTAATGCCAGCAGAATCTTCGCGATGGAACGCGGTTGACTGGTTACTAACATAAAATGCGCAGCGGAGCGCTGAAAGTCGCTTGTCGGGAGTCGAGAGAGCGCGTGCGTTGATTCCATTCACTCTTTCTCCCAGTATAGATGCCTTTTGACTTCCTCTTGTCTCAGCACTGTGAAGGCTTACACAAAGAAAATCGCTTCACGAGCGAATACAGGGCTTCTCAAACCTAGTCCGACTAATATATGTATAATGTCTCTACTCTGTCCGACAATGACTACCATTGCTTGATCACTAGCAGTACAGTTTCTCTTTTGTCATAACTTCTACATTAAATGTTTACGTATACAAAAGAACCATTCAGTTAGAATCTCTTACATTATATACTGATTAAAGACTATCCATTTCGTCTGCTTTTCAATACGTCTCTAAGGCACAATTCATTAAAATGCAGTTCTATAATAAATGTATAGCTATTATATATATAATAGCCAGATTCTGCCAGTAACACTTGCGTTAATTCCTGAGCCCTGACAATCCCTTTCTTTATCATTTACAATGCATTTCTATAGTAAATGTTTATCTATTATATATATAATAGCCAGATTCTGCCAGTAGCACTTGCGTTAATTCCTGACCCCTGACAATCCCTTTCTTTACCATTTACAATGCATTTCTATAGTAAATGTTTATCTATTATATATATAATAACCAGATTCTGCCAGTAGCACTTGCGTTAATTCCTGACCCCTGACAATCCCTTTCTTTATCATTTACAATGCATTTCTATATTAAATGTTTATCTATTATATATATAATAGCCAGATTCTGCCAGTAGCACTTTCACGTTAATTCTATCATATAATAGCCAGATTCTGACCCCTGACAATCCCTTTCTTTATCATTTACAATGCATTTCTATATTAAATGTTTATCTATTATATATATAATAGCCAGATTCTGCCAGTAGCACTTGCGTTAATTCCTGACCCCTGACAATCCCTTTCTTTATCATTTACAATGCATTTCTATATTAAATGTTTATCTATTATATATATAATAGCCAGATTCTGCCAGTAGCACTTGCGTTAATTCCTGACCCCTGACAATCCCTATCTTTATCATTTACAATGCATTTCTATAGTAAATGTTTATCTATTATATAATAGCCAGATTCTGCCAGTAGCACTTGCGTTAATTCCTGACCCCTGACAATCCCTTTCTTTATCATTTACAATGCATTTCTATATTAAATATTTATCTATCATATAATAGCCAGATTCTGCCAGTAGCACTTGCGTTAATTCCTGACCCCTGACAATCCCTATCTTTATCATTTACAATGCATTTCTATAGTAAATGTTTATCTATTATATAATAATAGCCAGATTCTGCCAGTAGCACTTGCGTTAATTCCTGACCCCAAATCCCTATCTTTATCATTTACAATGCATTTCTATAGTAAATGTTTATCTATTATATAATAGCCAGATTCTGCCAGTAGCACTTGCGTTAATTCCTGACCCCTGACAATCCCTTTCTTTATCATTTACAATGCATTTCTATAGTAAATGTTTATCTATCATATAATAGCCAGATTCTGCCAGTAGCACTTGCGTTAATTCCTGACCCCTGACAATACCTTTCTTTATCATTTACAATGCATTTCTATAGTAAATGTTTATCTATCATATAATAGCCAGATTCTGCCAGTAGCACTTGCGTTAATTCCTGACCCCTGACAATCCCTTTCTTTATCATTTACAATGCATTTCTATAGTAAATGTTTATCTATCATATAATAGCCAGATTCTGCCAGTAGCCCTTGCGTTAATTCCTGATCCCTGACAATACCTTTCTTTATCATTTACAATGCATTTCTATAGTAAATGTTTATCTATTATATATATAATAGCCAGATTCTGCCAGTAGCACTTGCGTTAATTCCTGACCCCTGACAATCCCTTTCTTTATCATTTACAATGCATTTCTATAGTAAATGTTTATCTGTTATATAATAGCCAGATTGTGCCAGTAACACTTGCGTTAATTCCTGACCCCTGACAATCCCTTTCTTTATCATTTACAATGCATTTCTATAGTAAATGTTTATCTGTTATATAATAGCCAGATTGTGCCAGTAACACTTGCGTTAATTCCTGACCCCTGACAATCCCTTTCTTTATCATTTACAATGCATTTCTATAGTAAATGTTTATCTGTTTATCTATATATAATAGCCAGATTGTGCCAGTAACACTTGCGTTAATTCCTGACCCCTGATCATCCCAATTTTTTTATCATTTACAATGCATTTCTATAGTAAATGTTTATCTATTATATATATAATAGCATTTCTAGATTGTTTATCCAGTAACACTTGCGTTAATTCCTGACCCCTGACAATCCCTTTTCTTTATCATTTATAAAATGCATTTCTATAGTAAATGTTTATCTATTATATATATAAATAGCCAGATTGTAATTCTGCCAGTACTTGCGTTAATTCCTGACCCCATGACAATCCCTTTCTTTATCATTTACAATGCATTTCTATAGTAAATGTTTATACATATAATAGCACTGTTCGATCAGTAACACTTGCATTAAACCCCGGCCACGGATAATTCGTCGTATCTTTATTTACAATGCATTCGTTTTTTAAAAAATCGTATTGCATCAATCGGGGTAGTTAAAAAAATGGTACGCTTATATGAACAGGAGCTGTCTTTTACTGGAAAGTTATTGCACATTAATAGGTTATCAAGGCACCGCCCTTGTTATGTTAACCAACTGTAGATAGTAATTTTCCAAGCGTAGCTTAGATGTGGCACAATGTCGAAAGTATGGGGCATCTAGTGGAGATCGAACTCATTACTCGTAATTGTTCTAACTAGACAAGCTTGCTAAACATTACACCGCCTCGAGGTACCCAACCAATTGGAGCTATATATGTATGCAGTATAACTATCAGTAACAGCCTACTCATCTCTCTCTTTCTGACTATATATATATATATATATATATATATATATATATATATATATATATATATATATATATATTGTGGTAGGATCCACCTAATTTGCATAGTGGAGTACCGACCATATAAATATGGTTGGTACTGGAAGAGAGGAGGAATCAAGAGATTCAACCAGAGACTCTGCCCGACTGCCACTCAGTCAACACATTCTCCAGGAACGGTCTTACCAGGAATATACAAAAGACTATATGTAAATATTGTGTACACTTTCTTGTATAGCCGAAAGCGCTCGGATAAAAAAGAACATTCGGACAGTTTTTATATAATTTATCATCCGAAAAGAAAAAAAATATTAGATCGCATGAGAAATTGTATAAAAAACTAAATAAAAGTACCTCTTCTGTCGTATTCAATGAAATGTGCATGAAAGAAGGATTGCTGCCTAAATACACAATATATATATATATATATGAAGAAAAATATACTGAACAAAACCAACAAAAATCCTAATATGCGATTATGCTGTTTTAATGTTTAATGTTAACGTCGGACGTTTCGGTCTAATAGACAATCTTCAGGACATATTCATAATACATAATTAACATAGACCATGAATATGTCCTGAAGATGGTCTATTAGACCGAAACGTCCGACGTTGACATTAAACATTAAAACAGCATAATCGCATATTAAGATTTCTGTTTGTTTCTTCAGTATATTTTTCTTCATATATATATATATATTAAAAAAAAATATATATATATATATATATATATTTGTATATATGCAAGAAGGAACTAGAGGCAGATATACAAATATATATATATATATGTTATTTTTGCTTTTTTTTTCCAACTATTCTTATTGTACATTTTTCTGTTTTAATTTTGGATCTCCCGTGGAAGCTTGAAGAGCGGGAGCGAAACCGGTTGCTTCCCCCACCCCTTGTTGTTGTGTTTTTTTATTATTTAATATTGTTTTAATATGTCTTGTAATATTAAATTTTATACTTTTATTTCGATCATTAAATTTTATACCAACAAAAATATCTTTAAATATAAATATATATATATATATATATATATATATATATATATATATATATATATATGCATGTTTCATTAAAAACGACAGACAAGGTACTACAAACAAACAGCAAAAACTCGTGCCACCTTAATTTCAAAAGCGAATGCCCACTTAGGTACAAAATAGCTGTAATAAAAAACTTTCTAAATAGAGCCCACCAGAACTCATCCTCCCGACTACTCTTTCTCAAAGAACTTAACAACGTTAAACAAACACTAATTAACAACGGTTTCCCTAACTACCTTATAGACCAACAAATTAGACTATTCCTCCCCAAAACAAGTAATAACGATAGCGAACACACAACTAATAATCACATACACATCTATTACAAAAACCAAATGCATATTAATTACAAACAAGATGAATCTTCTCTAAGACATATTATAAAGAAAAACACTACTCCTATTGATCCGAATAAAAAAATCAAACTTATTATCTATTATAAAAAATTTAAGACGGCCAACCTTATCCTCAAAAATAACAACACACCAACGAAGTCAAAATTACAAAGAACGAACATTATGAGTTCAAATGCCCTTTAAGGAACTGCGTTCCTCACCAAACCGGACTCATAAATAATTACATCGGCTACACAACCACATGTTTATCCAGACGTCTTACATTACACCTATCTGATCACAGTTCCATCAGAACACATTTAAACACACACTCAGATTTACCCGACACTATTAGGAACATACTAGTAGAAAACACAAATATATTAACTGCATCCACTTGCAAAAAAAGACTAAAAATAATGGAAGCTCTAATAATAAAAAAGAAAAAGCCAACCCTTAATAATATTAACTATGAACAAAGCCACAATGTGCTAACCGTATTCGGAAACTAAAACTTCACTACCACACAGTGAACATACACAGAACACACACACTCTACTAAGCTGATAATTGAATCATCCTTGATAATGGCTAAAGGTATAGCCGAAAGCGCTCGGAAATAGAGAACATTCGGACAGTTCTTACACACTCTTTGTCCAGAAAAGAAAGCTCTTGTCAGAACACAAGAAAAATTAAATAAAAAGCTCAACTGTAGTACTTTGTCTGTCGTTTTTAATGAAACATGCATAAAGGAAGGATTGCTGCCTAAATATACAAATATATATATATATATATATATATATATATATATATATATATATATATATATAAAGAATGTTTAAACATAAAATGTCTTAAAATAATTGTCGGACTTTGTCCATTTCATAATGTGTGACCTCTGCTAATCCAAACAACATTATCAGTGTACTGCATATGTATACATCCTCAAACCGCAAATTCATTCGTATTCCCGACAACCGTTAAGCCCATCCTAAAGTGTTGTTTCTAACATTAATGTGTCTGCAGTTTACTTACCATCACACCGTACATCCCTCAACCAACACCAGAACAAGAAATACTACACTCTATAAAGGTTAATTATCACTCGTTTTTCCTGAAGCATGTGTTAGATGTGGTAAATTCTTGCAAGCCTCTTCAGATAATTACCAAACTAAAATTTAAAAAAAAATGATAAGAAATATTTGCTTGAAGTATCTGGCAGTCACATGGTTTTAAAGGGATGATATGTGTCCAATGAATCAAGCCGGGGTGACCACTTTTGAATTGACTGTCAAACCGTTAGTGTTTATAAAGCTTAGCATGGAAAATGGCTACAAATAACTGAGTATAAAAAAAAGGACTGGGCGTGTAACGATGGATATCGTATCGCCATCTTTAAGCTTCGTGATTCGCTTCCTGCCAAAAGAAATATGAGACTTGTTTTCCTTCTATTTTTACTTCCTGATCTTCCGTACGTACGTAGGGATAGATAGATAGATAGATAGATAGATAGATAGATAGATAGATAGATAGATAGATAATGAATATAAAGAGATAGACAGATAATAAGCATAATCAGATAGATAGATAGATAGATAGATAGAATGAGATTGTTGAAAAGAGTAAAACAGATAGATAGATAGAATGAGATTGTTCAAAAGACATAGATAGATAGATAGATAGATAGATAGATAGATAGATAGAATGAGATTGTTGAAAAGAGTGAGATAGATAGATAGATAGATAGATAGATAGATAGATAGATAGATAGCCATAAATAAGCTCCAACCCCAGACCACATCCCCCGGGATAAGATACCTTACGCCCCCACCAGTCGCTAACACAAACCCATTCTAATTAACAAGGCGTCTACTAGAGGAGGACTGACATTAAAAGTAAATATAAAACAGTGGTCCGAGACAGACACTTAGGGGCTGATGATAGCCGATTACAGAACGGCTTGAAATAGACTATACTCTATGTTGAGGTATTTTGGGGGATTTTTTTTTCGCTGTAAAAAGTACATATGCTCTGTTATAATAAATACATAGAGCTCTCTGTGGATTAGTTTTAATAATTAATATTACTAGGATCCATCCGGATTATATACCAACAGACCAATTACCTGTACGATAGATAGATAGATAGATAGATAGATAGATAGATAGATAGATAGATAGATAGATAGATAGATGTGTTACCACTGACATAGATAGACAGATAGATAAATAAACAGACCGAGATAGATAGATAGAGAGAGAGAGAGAGTTTTAAAAAGAGATAGATAGATAGATAGATAGATAGATAGATAGATAGATGTGTTACCACTGACATAGATAGATAGATAGATAGATAGATAGATAGATAGATAGATGTGTTACCACTGGCATAGATAGATAGATAGATAGATAGATAGATAGATTGAGATAGATAGATATATAGATAGATAAACAAACCGAGATAGATAGATAGATAGATAGATAGATAGATAGATGTGTTACCACTGACATAGATAGATAGATAGATAGACAGATTGAGATAGATAGATAGAGAGAGAGAGAGAGAGTTTTAAAAAGAGATAGATAGATAGATAGATAAACAGACCGAGATAGATAGATAGATAGATAGATAGATAGATAGATAGATGTGTTACCACTGACATAGATAGATAGATAGATAGATAGATAGATAGATAGATAGAGAGAGAGAGAGAGAGAGTTTTAAAAAGAGATAGATAGATAGATAGATAGATAGATAGATAGATAGATAGATATAATCTGGTGTGATCAATGTTTTTGAACAAGGCCAGTGCACCTTAACCTCGATCATGATGACTTTTGACCTACCTGCTCATACAACTATCGACAGCCCCCTCCGCCGAGTTTCGCACACGGGGCTTGGTTCAAATCGCTGTATGGTTTTCAGGCACTTTCCAGAGGCCACGTGAGTTGAGTCTCCCTCCCCCCGCCCAGCCCGATAACCCAAGAAAATCTCCTGACTGACCAATCGACCATTGAGAATAAAACGCGGGTCTCATAGTCCGAAGGCGAGGGTTCTAACCTTTCAAACACGCGCCCACCAACATCATCATTAACAACAACAACAACAACAATAATAATAATAATAACAATAATAATAATAATAATAAGAAGAAGAAGAAGAAGAAAATTGAAGGGATCCCTGGTAGCCCAAGTCTTAAAAAAATACAAAGAATTGTAATCACAGGTACAGCGAACACCTTACGAAAGGTTTTATCTATGTAAAATATGTATGATCTTAGGTGCGTGTCGGGGGGAGTGTTTTATCTACTCAAAAATTCTCAGTGAAAAATGTCAAATGACATTTGTGACCTTAGGTCTCTGGTTGGGTTCCGGGAGGAAATGAGTATACAACAGAAATCAAAAGAAATAATAATAATAATAATAATAATAATAATAATAATAAGCGGGAAGGAAACTGAAAGGAAATGGTATGAACACCACCCAGACCCGGTTACGGAGATAAGATCTGTTACAATTTTATGGGACTACACAATACACACTGACAGAACAATCAAGGCCAACCGGCCAGATATTGTTATTAAAGACCACAAACAAAAACGGGGCCTCCTTACTAATATGGCAGTCCCTGCTGACTGCAATGTATCTTTGAAGATATTCAAGAAGTTGTCAAAATACAAGGACCTTGAAATAGAAATATCGAAAATGTGGCATATGGGAACATCAACAGTCCCTGTTGTAGTTGGAGCCCTAGGACTGGTTGGAAAAGATTCCAGTAGACTAAATGAAGGGATTCCTGGAAGTCCATGCGTCAAGGAGATACAAAAATTGTTCTGACAAGTACAGCTCACACCTTACGAAGGGCTTTATCTATGTAATTTAATTTTTTTTTTTTTTTTTTTGTCAGTGGAAAGTGTCACGATGCCATTTCTAACCTTAGGTCTCTGGGCGGGACCCGGAAAGAAATGTGTAAACGCCAGAAATCAAAGAAAATGAAAATAATAATAATAATAATAATAATAATAATAATAATAATAATAATAAAAGCCAACAGACCTGATGTTATCATAAAAGAGGAGTAATTCAGGAATTATATGCTTATTGACATAGCAGTACCATTTGAGCGAAACACCTCCATGAAAATTATCGAGAAACTGTCCAAATAGAAAGACCTGGAGATCGAGATTAACAGGATGTGGGGAATGAAGACTGAGATATTAGCAATATTAATCGGAGCTGTGAGCCTCGTGAGAAAAAGAATGAACAATTTTACTAACAGTGTCCCAGGTAACATCACCATACAAGTTGCCCCAAAATCGCCATACTTGGAACATCATATATACTAAAAAAAGTGCTATCAATTAGATGACAATTCTCCTATAGGGCCTATGACCATAGTTTGGACATGGCTCTACAGGATACAAAGCAGGAAACACAACATGCACAAATAATAATAATAATAATAATAATAATAATAATAATGTGCCTTCTTATTGATATGACAGTCCCTGTAGACCGTAATGTATCTTTGAAGATCTTCAAAAAACTGTCGAAATGCAAGGATCTTGAAGTTGAAATCCCAGAAATGTGGTACATGAGAGCATCAGCAATTCCAGTTGTAATTGGAGCCCTCGATTTTATTTGAAAAGGTTCCGATAGATTACATTAAAGGTGATTCTGGTATTCCAAGCCTTAAAGAAATACAAAATGTCGTATTCACAATTACAGATCATAAATTACGAAGAGCTTTATCTATATAAAATGTGTGCGAGCTTCGATTTTTTTTTGTTTTGTTTTGTTTTGTTTTATTTTCTCTCAAAAACTGCTCATTAGAAAATGTTATGATGCCATTTCTGACCTTAGGTCGCTGATTGGGGCCCGGAAAGAAATGAGTATACATCAGAAATCAAAGGAATAATAATAATAATAATAATAATAATAATAATAATCTACGTTGTTTTCTTCATTTGTAATTTGTACGAGATACGAAACGTTTCGCAGATGTCGCCTTATCGAATGCTTTGAGTATGCACGACAGCAGCGCGTACATAAAAAATGCAAAATCATTAGATCGGAAAGACGAAAAACGAAACGCATAAATAACGTTCTCAATCAAACTGACAAAGGAAATATCCTGGAGCCTTGTTCGAAATTGTTTACGTGGATATCCATATTATTATTTGTTTTTTCTTTGCAGTTTTTCTCCCATTAATGCCTGGTAAAAAATATTTTCTTAACATTTTGTGGTTTGGTCATTATTATTATCATCATTATTATTATTATTATTATTATTATTATAAAATCCACACATTTGAAATCTGTTTTTTATGAATCTTTCATGTTTCATATTTTGTGATACAAGCAATTTTTTTCCTCGTAAAATCTCTTCATCATATTAAAGTGAATGTATGGAAAAAAGATTTCTTTGTTTTCGACGAATAGAAGTTTTGAAAAGAATGAGATAGATAGATAGAAAAGAAAAGAAGGTGACAAAGAAAGAAAGAAAGAAAGAAAGAAAGAAAGAAAGAAAGAAAGAAAGAAAGAAAGAAGGCGACATAGATAGATAGATAGATAGATAGATAGATAGATAGATAGATAGCGTTTCGAATTCAAGGAGAGACAACTCATCTTTGAATTCGGAATGCCACAAATGATACTAACGAATGCAAGTGAAACATGATTGGCCAATGAAAATCCAATAACGCAAAAATAAAATATACCAGAATCTTTTCTTTTTTCTCCATATTTTATTGTTTAATGAAGATTTAATAAAAGTAAAACATATTCGATTTATAATTCTTTCCTATTTGTCCTTTATCTGCTCACCTTTTCGGATTCCGATCCATATTTGTCCACACACACACACACACACACACACACACACATATATATATATATATATATATATATATATATATATATATATATATGTAAGCAAATGTAAATGGATATAGATCCGACAGAATGAAGAAAAATTTGGAAAAAACAAACAAAAACTATATATATATATATATATATATATATAGAACTACTATATTACCTACTAGAACTATCCGTAGTTTATTAAATAGCACCAGCAGACAACATATTACATCCGATGCTTGCATCTACCAAATATCATACAAAAACTGTGACCTAAAATATGTGGGTGAAACATGTAGGTCCGTAAAATCTCGTGTTTTCGAACATAAACGAGATATTCGCCTCGGAAATTTTAACAATGCTTTTAGTTGTACACAAACTAAAGCAGATCATAATTTCGATTTCGATTCCATGAAGGTATTAAAATATTTTCATAATAAAAATCTCAGGAGGATTTATGAAGCAGGTATAATATCCATCTCACGCACGGTGAATACTAGACCTGGTTTCTTTAATATTTTCCCTTTTTTAGCGAGATTAATGCTCGACAAGCATACACATAAAAATTTTAGATCCTAATAGAATTCTTTTCATTTTCTTTTTCATTCAAAATAATCAAAAATTTTTAGGAATACGTTTTGAAAGCGTCGCCCATGTGACGACAACGTGACCATGCTAAACGGAAAGCTGATCATTTTAAAATTTTCAGTTATCTGTTTTGGATAAGACTTGTTTTTTATGTCCATCATCTTTGTTAAATTGAACTGAATTGTAATGAATATTGTCTTGAAAAAGGTTTATTAAACCGAAACGTCAGACGTCGACATTTCATTCATTTTAAACAACATAATTGCATTTAAGGATTTTTGTTTGTTTTTTCCAAATTTTTCTTCATATATATATATATATATGTGTGTGTGTGTGTGTGTGTGTGTGTGTGTGTGTGTGTGTGTGTGTGTGAGAGAGAGAGTTTGTTTGTGTTTGTGTGTATGTGTGTGTGAGAGAGAAAGGGGTCGTGTGTGTGCGTACGTGTGTGTATACGGAGAGTAACAGCAAAATTTACAGTATTTAGATTAAGATTTGGATCGTTGTATCTTAGAAATGATTAAAAATATCTTACTGGAGTTCTCCGAGGATTTTACAACACTATTAGACTCCACTTTGTACAATAAGAATTTATTCAGTTCTAATTTGAAATGATCATCCCTCTTCCTGATCGAGTTTTTATTTCTCTCTCTACTTGTCCCTCATTTTTAAAATTATTCACCGTTCGCTTGATGCTTCTTGAATAGAATTTGAAGGCAGAAGTCAGATTATGAATGTTGGTACCATTACTGAAGGCCTTAATGATCTTTTTCCTCTCACCATTGCTCATCTTGAAGGTATAGTGGGGCTGACACAAAACGATTTTAACCTGTTCTTTTTTTATCTGAATAACTCAAACGTTTTTTTCAGTGATTCTTACCACAAATGGTGGCAAGATGGCTAAACGTCTTATCTGAATATCTCAATTAGTTTAGTTTTAGTTAGCAAACATTTTGTGGCATTAACAATTATCCCATGTTGTTACACGATTTGGACAATTTTGATGTTACACCCGGTATATTAATCACTTCCCAGCAAGGAAGGCGAGGATGCCACTAAGACGCAAGAGGCTACCAACCAGAAACGTAATCGTAAACAAGAAAGACGGGTTAAATCTCTACTTGTGTTCCGCGGAAGAGTGTGGACCGTATGACAGGCGAACCTCAATGAATAGTAAATAAAATTTCAGAGTTTAGTAAGTGATATGCAGAGTTAAAGTAGACTTTAGAAGGAACCGGAAACCCAATCTTAAAGAAATGATTTGCGTGCGTCTCCTTACAGTACGACCTTCATTACACGATGGGGTAACTTGCAGTTTAAGCACCGCGTACCAATTGTAATTAAAAAATTGCTGAATATTTCCATTTCGGTGTAAATTTATATGCTTATTGCGAAAATAATAGTAAAATTTTGCGGAAATCTACAGTTTGGGAGTTATCTACAGTAAAAGCCTGCACTCATTCGCGTCGCGGTTACAGCACAACGACCATTACTGACGTTATTTGCATACGTTTGTCACTAGTAATCATGCGCAGAAGTTTCACTTGTCTTGATTATTGCGCACACAATGCGCAAACTTTACGCGAAATTTAAAAAGAGCATGATTTTTTTACAAAAAAAATATCCCTAACCCTGCCAAGGGACTTAATAACAACATAAACAATTTTAAGTAATATTATTTAAGCATGATTATTTACAAAATGGCGATTGAGAAAAGGCAAGCTTTTAAAATTTGTTTTATTATCTAAACAAGAATTCATTATTATTACAGCTTCACTATAAAAAAAAAAAAAAGCAACACGTGTCATTGCTTTTCAAAATAACTTAAACAAATTTTTAAAAAAAGAATTCAGAAAAGCTTCACTTTCACAAATGCCCGAAGACTTCTTTTGGTTTTGCGTAGTAATTGAGACGAGTAAGAAAAGGAAGATCAGTAAAACGGCCGTTAACTAAGTAACCTTCCGCGTATAAATGCCCGAGGCAAACGGATGTAAAGAACGCCAGTAATGGCGGACGGACCCGACGCGAATGAGTCCGAACTTTTATTGTCGGTAAATTCTAAACGGTAGATTTTCGCAAACTTTTACTGTTATTTTCGAAATAAGCATATAAATTTACACCGAAATGGAAATTTTCAGGAAATTTTAATCCCAATTGGTGTGCGGGGCTTAAATTGCAAGTTACGATTTGCTAGCAATGATTGCATTAAATCAAATATTCGTACAGTGAAACAGTAATTTCAATTTTCTGATGAATTGTAAGTTAATCACCGACTATAAAATAGTCATGGGATTTCCTCTCTTGTATTATTAAATGTTTGAGTTTATCAACTTCGCCAGTACGTTGCACTAACAATCCAGAGTATAAATGCAGGTAAGTATTTAAAGAGGTAAATGGGTACAAATAGAAATATTAAAACTTTAGACGGTTTTTCATTTCACTGAAGCAGACTTTAAACGCATGAGCGCATTATCGCCTCCTCTGTCTTTCTTCCTTGATTAATAGAATTTTTTTGGCAAGATGATTGTTGAAATTCTCACAGTATTTAGTATAAATAAAGTTGTCGCTAATATTATTTGTCGAGATTTACAAACTATAATCTCTCCTTATCGTGAACGTTCACATTCTGACCAAAACCCGGGTTCGAATCTCACCATGGTCGATTTGCCAGGAAGGAGACTTCCTGATGTTATCGGACTGGAGGGGTAGATCCTAGCGTTCGGCACCTTTGGAAAGTGCATGAAAAACCATACAGGCTGACCCAAGCCTTGTGATTAAAATTGGGTAGACGAAACGTCGTCGATAACTGTGCTAGCACGGTCAAAGTCATCGCAGCCGAGGGCTTGAGTGTCCTGGACTTGTTCAAATTGTTGATCACGCTAGATAACACGCTCTCTCCCAGAAACTGTAACTAAGGTCTGCTAAGCATAGATGCACTGTAAACCAGAGGTGGGCTCTGTGGGGGCTGAGCAAACACAAATGTGCCTGAGCAAGCGTCTGCAATAGGGATTGACTAGCCGCCTTTCTAGACGAGTATTCTCTTATACATGCTATATACATATATAGTTTATGCAAACTTAGGTAATCCGTATGGGTAGACCCGAGGAGGATGATATCCAGAGAGCTCAATGTAAAATTCAGAGCAGATATGTTTGAAGAAAAAACAGACCACGTTAAGATTCCATGTAATAAGCTATTTCACCATAACCCCTTTAACAGGGTTCTGGATCATCAGACTCTACTTCCAAAAGCTGAAATGAAAAATGAAAAGAAATTCACACGTTTTTGACGGACCTCATCAAGTATACGTAAAATTAACGAAGTGAGGTGGGAGAGAGGATATGAGTGTGTCATATGTATCATTTTAGTTTCCTATTTTTAACCCCAGTGTGTCGGCTAGATGTTGCTCAAATTTAACGCGTCTCGTCTCTAGATATAGGTGGCTAAGGGGTGAATGATAAGAACGACATTAAAGGAAGAAGTTACAACAACCCCAATCAATTACACGACAGGTTTCATTCAAATTCTTAGACGCTGTTAATTCGCGTTACTTTATCGTGCATATTTGGGAGGTTAAGGTTTGATAAATATCTAAATGTCTAAACAATCTACGAAGAAATTAATTTGAAATTCGGTGGCGTTTTGGGTATTTTCTATGAAACAGTCGATTGGAAAAATTCATAGACAGTACATTGAAAGAGTAATCCATTTTATATTTAATAATCTTTTTTATTCTACTAAATCTTTTATCTTATTGCTTGTTAGGCTGACATCTATTCGTTTGATTTTTGTTCATTAAGTAAACTCGTGATTGTTTTTATGTACCTAATTATCAACGGTTATTCCCATTTAAATAATTTTATCATCAATAATGGGGTAGTATATTTCAATCTAAATTAAAATACCAATTTAAACTCCAGCTTCGTGCTGTTTAAAACTCACTTCCAATTGGAGAATATTACAGGAGAGATTTGGAAGAGATGTCACTAGCAGAAAATTAGGTCCTTATTTTACAATCTTTTATCTACACATTTCTTAAACCCCTATTTATATCCACATACCTATATCTTCTTATATGCCTATAAGTTCCTATATACACCTGCACACACATTCACACGAAAAAACCATATGTATATTTCCATATTTACACATCTACACCTGCAGAGAAAGGCGCATCCATATATCTCCATACATATCTCCATATACACTTATACTTACATATATACATATACACATAAGGACACCTGTATATCCATATACATACACACATATACATTTACACACATATATATGTATACACATATACACATACACACACACACATATGCATACATACATACACACATACATATACATACACACACATACATGCATATATATATACGCAATATGCAGCATATCCACATACACACATATGTGTTAATTTGCACTTACACATATCTACACACGTACATGTCCCTATCCTCATGTCCACCCGTGCATCCACTTCTGCCTGCGTTCGAAGACTATCTCAGTATTTAATTACATTATCCATATCTTTACACATATAATATTGCCCGCTCTGTCATATATATGGCAAAACATATATATATATATATATATATATATATATATATATATATATATGAATTATTCATACAAAAAACAGATATAGAAGTTAATGATATAAATGGCGAGAATACATCTTCGCAAACAAATTTAATAAATTACATTAACTCCGAACCTGTAGATGAATGTTATGATCCCTGTTTATAAATTCCAGTTGCATATGGTCTTTTTTTTAGTTTTTTACAAGCTTTCATCTGTGCATACAGACATCATCAAGTATGGAAATAGATTTGTTTTTTACATCTCGGTAATAACAGGAAAGAATAGATGTAATCCGAAATATGTTTTTAGAAATGTGTTATTGTTAATTGTAAGAAATTTTGGAGCGAGAAGTTGCAACGCTGAGGTTGAATTTTTAAATTTTAAGATAGAGCGTTTTTGTACTAATATGGTAATAGGAGAATTCTTTTGTACTGGTAGGTTTTTCAGTCAATGTGGCATGAACTAAATTGTTCAATAAATACAGGAATGTCAGTTATTATCCGAAAATTGCACGTCGGATCAGTTATTTCAATATGTGTTGCAGTATGTGGTGCAGTTCAATTTACATTACATGAACCATTCAAACAATATATATATATATATATATATATACTATTGTGCATTATATGTAAAATAAGAAAACATCTGCATTTTTATTAAATAAGTATTTATTTTAATCATTAATTTATTTTTAAGACATTTATTTTGTGTGTAAAATAATAGAACATTTAATTTTTCCTCAAAAATTAATGAAGATTTACTGTCCTAAGATACGCAGCTAAGTAAACTAGGTTTAATTTGGGATTTCTTACCTGTTTGCATTTCTCCCTAAAATCTGGTATTGATCGATCAATGTATGGCTATTTTAGACGGTGTGACGGACGGACTAAATGAAGTCACATAATTTTATATATAGCTTATTATGTATACTTTTTCTTTCTCAATAAAACCAGACAGATAGATAGATAGCACAGAGTGAGATTGGTCGGTACGTATAAATAGCGTAAGATATATATGCAGATAGATAGATAGATAGATAGTCAGAATAGGGTGAGATAGATAGATAGATAGATAGATAGATAGATAGAATAGTGTGAGATAGATAGATAGATAGATAGATGGATAGAATAGTGTGAGATAGATAGATAGATAGATAGATAGATAATGAACACAGAGATAGATAGATAGATAGATAGATAGATAGAAAATGAACATAATGACATAGATAAATAGACTATGAACATAATGAGATAGAGAAAGAGGAAAATAGAGAGAGATTATGAACATAGATAGATAGATAGATAGATAACAGCCTATTTCTCACTAATAATACCAGATAGCGAATATGCTTTATCTTTTTTATCTCGCAATTAGTATGGAATGCGTCATTATTTATCTGGGGTAATGGCATCGTTAAATATTTGAACTTAACAGCTTAAACAACAATCGTAAGTATGTCTACAGTGTTTTATTTAAACAATTAAAAGCGTATAAAGGAAAATATCCAAAATTGACACGATTTGTATCTGTCTATATTTCTGAGATGAGGTATTATGTACATTATTTACATTATTCGGGCTATTGTCTTCATCTTTGTCGCCATATTTATTACAAAGTTTCGGCCGTTGTACGCTCCGGCCTTCTTCAGGTGGTTGGAATGTCGAACTGAACTCTTTATTTCGCTATATCTAATGGATGTCAGTTACCCCCTTTTAATTCTCCTCTTAAAGTTCTCCAATGCCTTAACCAGGTATTGAACTCACACTCTTTGGGACCTGTCACTGGATCTAACTAACGCATTTATCCACTGTGCCATGTCTCCTTGAGTATTAATTTCTGGGTATTATAAACCTAATGTATTTAGCAACCATTTTTTACCAGTGCTCGTATTGCAATTTTTGTTGTTATCATTTCATGTTTTTTTTTTACCAGAGCTCATATTGCAATTTTTGTTTATATTAACGCATGTCTCTGGCACTCCTTATTACTGGTTCCCGTATTGTATTCATTTCTATGCTTGGTCGGCTCAGGAGATTTTTGTGGTCTCGCATATGTGCTGATTCCTTAAGTTTACGAATTTTCTAATGATGTTCTTTGTCTGTGATCTCAACTTGATCCCACAGAGGGCGATGATCTCCCTTTTCTCTCCAACACGATTTACTATTTCACTGAAGCAGACGTTAAAAGTATGAGAGCGTTATTATCACGTCTATGTTCTCCTCCTTCCACACTTTCCTGTCCTTTATAGCTCAAACCCCTCCCAAATATTTTGAACAGGAGTACAGGTTTATTCCTTGTTTTTGGTTTAGAATTGGTTTTACGGTTTCACCTAAAGTTTTTTCATTCTCTTTCACTTTCAGGAGCCAGTTGCGTTCTTATCGGCATTATCGCTATTATAAGAAGACCCAAAGAGTGTGAGTTCGATACCTGGTTAAGGCAGTGGAGAACTTTCAGAGGAGAATTAACAGGGAATAACTGACATCCATTAGACATAGCGAAATAAAGACTTCAGTTCGACATTACAACCACCTGATAAAAGGCCGGAGCGTGAAACGGCCGAAACGTTGGGATAAATATGGCTACAAAGATGAGGATTATTGTAGCGAATTGATTAAAAAGAAAAAAGAAATACTCTAAATACATTTTGTCTTTTTTGTTATTTCTTTTAAATTTTGTTCCGCCATCCATTTGCTCAAACTCACAAAGCAAGTTATGCATTATTTTCCTCTGCCCCTCGTGCCTTCGATCTGTCCTGTGAGTATCAGATTTTCCAAGACCACTTTCCGCATTATATGACTTGGAAATTTCAACTATCTCTTCCTGATGTTAAATAAGTTTCCTTTTTGTTTCTACCTTCCCTAAAACTTCTTCATAGATTGCATATCATATAAAAAGTATCCTCAGCATCCTTCTGTAGAACTACATATATGTTGCTTCAAACGTCTTCCTCATCTTTGAGGAGATTGTCCATCATTCACTGCCGTATAGGAGGATTGATATTACATAGCAGTTAAGCACTCTTTTCTCTGTATTCTCAGCATCCTTCTATAGAAACACATCTCTCTAGCCTCAAGTCTCCTCTTCATCTGTGAGGAGATCGTCCAGCATTCACTGCCATATAGGAGGATTGATATTACATAGCAGTTAAGCACTCTTTTCTTTGTATTCTCAGCATCCTTCTATAGAACCACATCTCCGTAGCCTCAAGTCTCCTCTTCATCTCTGAGGAGATTGTCCAGCATCCACTTCCATATAGGAGGATTGATATTACATAGCAGTTAAGCACTCTTTTCTTTGCATTCTCAGCATCCTTCTATAGAACCATATCTCTCTTCATTTGTGAGGATTTCCAGCATTCACTGCCTCAAGTCTCCTCTTCATTCTGTGAGGAGATTGTCCAGCATTCACTGCCATATAGGAGGATTGATATTACATAGCAGTTAAGCACTTTTTCTTTGTATTCACAGCATCCTTCTATAGAACCACATCTCTGTTGCCTCAAGTCCCTCTTCATCTGTGAGGAGATTGTCCAGCATTCACTGCCACATAGGAGGATTGATATTACATAGCAGTTAAGCACTCTTTTCTTTGTATTCACAGCATCCTTCTATAGAACCACATCTCTGTTGCCTCAAGTCTCCTCTTCATCTGTGAGGAGATTGTCCAGCATTCACTGCCACATAGGAGGATTGATATTACATAGCAGTTAAGCACTCTTTTCTTTGTATTCTCAGCATCCTTCTATAGAACCACATCTCTGTAGCCTCAAGTCTCCTCTTCATCTGTGAGGAGATTGTCCAGCATTCACTGCCACATAGGAAGGATTGATATTACAGCAGTTAAACATAGCACATTAAGCACTCTTTTCTTTGTATTCACCAGCATCCTTCTATTAGAATTCCACATCTCTCTATAGAACCACATCTCTGTAGCCTCAAGTCTCCTCTTCATCTGTGAGGAGATTGTCCAGCATTCACTGCCACATAGGAGGATTGATATTACATAGCATTTAAGCACTCTTTTCTTTGCATTCTCAGCATCCTTCTATAGAACCACATCTCTGTAGCCTCAAGTCTCCTCTTCATCTGTGAGGAGATTGTCCAGCATTCACTGCCATATAGGAGGATTGATATTACATAGCAGTTAAGCACTCTTTTCTTTGTATTCTCAGCATCCTTCTATAGAACCACATCTCTGTAGCCTCAAGTCTCCTCTTCATCTGTGAGGAGATTGTCCAGCATTCACTGCCATATAGGAGGATTGATATTACATAGCAGTTAAGCACTCTTTTTTTTTGTATTCTCAGCATCCTTCTATAGAACCACATCTCTGTAGCCTCAAGTCTCCTCTTCATCTGTGAGGAGATTGTCCAGCATTCACTGCCATATAGGAGGATTGATATTACATAGCAGTTAAGCACTCTTTTCTTTGTATTCTCAGCATCCTTCTATAGAACCATCATCTCTGTAGCCTCAAGTCTCTTTGTATTCTCAGCATCTTCATCTGTGTGAGGAGATTGTCCAGCATTCACTGCCATATAGGAGGATTGATATTACATAGCAGTTAAGCACTCTTTTCTTTGTATTCTCAGCATCCTTCTATAGAACCACATCTCTGTAGCCTCAAGTCTCCTCTTCATCTGTGAGGAGATTGTCCAGCATTCACTGCCATATAGGAGGATTGATATTACATAGCAGTTAAGCACTCTTTTCTTTGTATTCTCAGCATCCTTCTATAGAACCACATCTCTGTAGCCTCAAGTCTCCTCTTCATCTGTGAGGAGATTGTCCAGCATTCACTGCCATATAGGAGGATTGATATTACATAGCAGTTAAGCACTCTTTTCTTTTGTATTCTCAGCATCCTTCTATAGAACCACATCTCTGTAGCCTCAAGTCTCCTCTTCATCTGTGAGGAGATTGTCCAGCATTCACTGCCATATAGGAGGATTGATATTACATAGCAGTTAAGCAGTCTATTCTTTGTATTCTCAGCATCCTTCTATAGAACCACATCTCTGTAGCCTCAAGTCTCCTCTTCATCTGTGAGGAGATTGTCCAGCATTCACTGCCACATAGGAGGATTGATATTACATAGCAAGTTAAGCAATCATTTTATAGGAGGATTGATATTACTTTGCATTCTCAGCATCCTTCTATAGAACCACATCTCTGTAGCCTCAAGTCTCCTCTTCATCTGTGTGGAGATTGTCCAGCATTCACTGCCATAGAGGTGGACTGATATTACATAGCAGTTAAGCACTCTTTTCTTTGTATTCTCAGCATCCTTCTATAGAACCACATCTCTGTAGCCTCAAGTCTCCTCTTCATCTGTGAGGAGATTGTCCAGCATTCACTGCCATATAGGAGGATTGATATTACATAGCATTTAATCACTCTTTTCTTTGTATTCTCAGCATCCTTCTATAGAACCACATCTCTGTAGCCTCAAGTCTCCTCTTCATCTGTGAGGAGATTGTCCAGCATTCACTGCCATATAGGAGGATTGATATTACATAGCAGTTAAGCACTCTTTTCTTTGTATTCTCAGCATCCTTCTATAGAACCACATCTCTGTAGCCTCAAGTCTCCTCTTCATCTGTGAGGAGATTGTCCAGCATTCACTGCCATATAGGAGGATTGATATTACATAGCAGTTAAGCACTCTTTTCTTTTTGTATTCTCAGCATCCTTCTATAGAACCACATCTCTGTAGCCTCAAGTCTCCTCTTCATCTGTGAGGAGATTGTCCAGCATTCACTGCCATATAGGAGGATTGATATTACATAGCAGTTAAGCACTTTTTCTTTGTATTCTCAGCATCCTTCTATAGAACCACATCTCTGTAGCCTCAAGTCTCCTCTTCATCTGTGAGGAGATTGTCCAGCATTCACTGCCATATAGGAGGATTGATATTACATAGCAGTTAAGCACTGTATTTTCTTTGTATTCTCAGCATCCTTTCTATAGAACCACATCTCATAGCAGTTAAGCACTCCTTTGTATTCAAGTCATCTCTGTAGCCTCAAGTCTTTCATCTGTGAGGAGATTGTCCAGCATTCACTGCCATATAGGAGGATTGATATTACATAGCAGTTAAGCACTCTTTTCTTTGTATTCTCAGCATCCTTCTATAGAACCACATCTCTGTAGCCTCAAGTCCCCTCTTCATCTGTGAGGAGATTGTCCAGCATTCACTGCCATATAGGAGGATTGATATTACATAGCAGTTAAGCACTCTTTTCTTTGTATTCTCAGCATCCTTCTATAGAACCACATCTCTGTAGCCTCAAGTCTCCTCTTCATCTGTGAGGAGATTGTCCAGCATTCACTGCCATATAGGAGGATTGATATTACATAGCAGTTAAGCACTCTTTTCTTTGTATTCTCAGCATCCTTCTATAGAACCACA